CGACGTAACTGTTGCCACCGACTGCTGGCAACAACGCCTCACCTCGACGTAAATAATAAATGATCTGGATGATATCCAGTCTGTCTCACATGCTGAACATAGGGCTCGCATGCATTCTTCATATGAGCAACGACGAGCTCAGCGGGCTAGCTGACCGTCCCTCCCAACCATCCACCCACCCGCCGACTAAGCTACCGCACGACCAACGAGCATCGTAATTGCCGTACTTGGGAGTTCTACAACAAAACGACGGGAACGGGAATCCGGGTCGAAGAGAACGTCGGCCTCAAGCGTTTCCACGCTGACTGATGTTTTTGCAGTCAACCCTTGATGAGGGAACAAATTGTTCTATGCTTTGTGTGTCGGCGGCACGCGAGCACGAGGCTTCGAACGTCCCGCTTTTCCCGAACGCTCTCATTCGAAATTTTAGGGTCCATTTTTCATGTCGCTCCGCAACGAATAGCAAGCGCTCGCCAGCCTTTGCGCAAGATCCCAATCGAGGGAGCGAGTCTCGTCGCCGACAGAGCAACGGCAGCCGCGATATTCCCAAACTCGACCGCGTAAATTTCCAGATCGACGGATCGAGATCCCCTCTCGATACTGTTGTTCCCGATGAATGGAGTGCCGAGTCCGCTCTTCTAGGGGACCCTCATCGTGAACAGGCAGCGAGCTTCGCTGAGACTCTCGCCGTACGCAACGTATTTTGGGAATGAGGAATTGACGAGTGAATACTGTTGTTTGTTCTCCGCGCTCCGGATGTAATTCGCCGCAAATGACTTCGTTCGAATGATCTCGAATGAATTGGTGATCTCCCAAGTTTTTGAAAGGAAACCATCATTGTTGCTGCTGCTGCGGCGGCGCCGCCGAGGGCACAGTCCCGGCAGACGAAGCACAACAAAAAACGAACGTTCATTATTGAGGTCCTATTTCGCTCGAACGAACAGAATTACTTTGGCTTCGGTACGACGAACACTCACTCGTCGCGACAGCGGTGCCAGTCGTCGACGACGACGTTGTCGTTGTTGTCGTCGTTGTCGTTGGTGTAGTCAGAGAGGGTTCCTTCATTTGCTGGCGACTAATTCGCTTTAATGTGTCCCTTTGTTACAGTTCGCTGCGACGCATACCCCACACGAGTCCGATCAATCGTTCACTCACTAGTTGGCTGCCTGCTGTTCGCACGCTGAGAATTACGCAACACGGTGCCAGAATTATCCGGGCTCTCGCCTTTCATCCGTCCTCTCTCGGAGCAGATCCTGACCCTGAGCACGAATGTCATAGAGAGTTCGAATCATCTTCTAGGGGATCGGTTATCAATGAACCGAAAACTCCCCTATTTGAGGTTCGGCTCGAAACGACTCCCGGCTTTCGAAAGCGAACCATTTGCTTTCCCAGGATCGGCTCTTCGTTTATGAGGCTGGGCATGGACGGCAAATCGTGGCCGTGAAAGACTTTGGGCGCTTACCGTCGCCATGCGCATATCTGTCCTACAGCAATCCTTATCGGGACTAGGCACCCTTCCTAGAACTCTTCCGGATCCGGTCAGGAGCTAAAGGAACACGTGCGATCGCTCCTGAACTCGAGCAAAGCGTTCCCATATTATACGGTCTATGTCTATACGGTCGAACTACGGACGAAGAGGTTTTTCGAGAATTTTATTCTCGTTCCGAGACTTATTCCCGTGCCCGGTTATTCGGACTCTCGCTGAGAATCCAGATTCGAATCGACAACAGTTCCGCACGGAGCGATGTTTGATCAGCAGCAGGCGTCGTGGTGGAACGTGACTCCCTACCAAGGCGGTGCAGTTTTGGTTATGCATACGTCAGGAAACCGGAAGGTTGACGGGTGCAAATCTGCCGCTAAACTCGAGCTTGGAGGAAGAGGTGAACCGCGGGAGTCCTGATACCCGAGCAGTGTGCCAATAGCAATTAGTTGCCTTATGCCTACGCAGCTAAACATAGAGAAGCTAGACGGAATTGACAGCTTCGCGCGATAGTGGCGAGCTCGGCAATGATCACAGCGCTAAGACGCGACGCGGCCCGTATCGCTCAGAAAGTCGAGTTCCCAGCTCGCTACGAGGATGAAGCCTGATTTTTCTCCACTTTTTCCACGACCGGGAGAACTCTTATACGCACGGTACGAACTCCTCGTCCACAGGGCAGAGCTGCGCGAGCTCTCTCGATTCTCCGCATGGCTGCTCCAATAAATGGAGAAGTCGAATCTTGGAGAGCCCGACGAGCGTTTTGAATGGTGAATACGAATTTCCTCCGTTCCTCAATTAGCACAGTGCCGCCGCACAGATAAGAGACTCATTGTTGTGTCGGCGGTTCGAATCCTTTTAAAAGCCGCGCAATCAGCTCAGGGACGTCCGGCGAGGCTCCGGAAGCGGAATAAAGTTGTTTGCCAGTGGAGTCTGTTAGTGACAAGTTCCCTTCCGGAAACTCTGCTACGAGTCAAGACAACTGTCGACCGGGTGAATCGATACCTCGGCTTGGAATCACAGGGATTCGCGCATCGGAAACCGATACCGCAAAAACGAACGGCGAGCGAGCGAAGCGCCGCTCTCGGCTGCGATTATTATCGACGTCGACCACATCGAGAGCCGAAGACATACATACATGTTTGAAGTGTGTCAGAATAAAGCGATTAATGTCACTGACGCAAGCGGACCGAGCGGGATCGAGGGAACAGGGCCCGCCCAGGACAAGAAGACCGCAACGCTAATTGAAAATTCGTTTTTTTTTCTTATTTTCCTGGGGATTTGGCGGAAACATTTTCGAAAATTTTGCGAACTCCGAAATCGTGGAGCTCCGCTCCCGCATACTGCGTGGGCCGCTGCCAGCCACCGTCGGGGAATGGAGAAACGGCGGAGATGGAAAATTCAAGAGCTGTCGGACGATGATAGCCTCGACAATTTGGTATCGCAGTTTCGTTAGAACAAAGAAAGCGACAGAAAACCTTGCGGGTTTGGTCCCACGAAGAAGTCGAAATAGCGCGGCCTCGCTACCGGTGGCCGTCGGCGAGCGTCCTCTTCGGATTTATGCGCGATCCGTGGAGAGATATCCGGGAGAATTTCTCTATCGGGCCTCTCTATGACAGCCCTCCGCGAACCTAGCTCAACGGATCGAGATCCAGACTGGCGGTCATTTCGCGACTACCGAAGCCGTTAAGCAGCGAGGAAGTAGTAATATGTCGGACCGTTTATTTTCTAGCAGTGCTGCGCAATCGTTGGACGATTTCAATGACGTTCTCGTCAAAATCGCCGGCAGTGAATGAATTACCTTTTCCGTGTCAGAAAACAGATATAATTGAGCAGCGGCGGCAATTCATGGGTGGCCCATTCGGGAAACTCCTTCACACACAGCACGGGATTTACGGTTTGCTTTCTCGATGGAAGATGTGCGGCGATTCTGACGATGATTCTCCGCCGATAAGCCAATATCTCTTCGTCAAAAACTCCGATCATAGCCCTGCGGCTATTTGTACGACGCGTACACGCATGATTTCCACCTCTGGAAAAGCGGTTCTCCAGAAACGGATGCCGCTAACGTAGACGTCGATCGAGGCGGACGATCATCGCAGACGCATCGCGGCTCCTGATCGCATCCGCGAGGAGCTTCGAGTTCGGAGCAATGAACCGGTCGAAAAGAGCACCACGACGTCCAGAAACCATCGCACAACGGATTTTACGCGCGACACACGATACAAGAGACGAAAATGTAGGTCTGCGCCAAAAACGCCTGCTCCCGCCGATATTCTTATGAAGACTGGTCATCAATGCCATAAAATTCAACGGGTCGATTATTATAATAATTTTCCGAGCGACGACTTTCATAATTCGGTATCAAGTAGCAAACTTCGCCAGCAAATGAGAAATAAGAAAGACGGAAGGTTACGACTCAGCTCAAAACACCGCTGGATATTCCCATGTTGTTTTGTGTCGTTTCCTTCAGTCGCATGAATGTTCACGCACGACAAAGACGGTGGGAGCGGAATTATCGTGAACGATGCTGTCCCCATGGTTCAGAATTTTCGGGAAGCAGCTGACGGGGAGATTTTTATCCCTACCTCGACCCTGCCCACCTTGGTCCTCGAATCGCTTCACTTTCCTCGCCTATAGCCCCCCCCTCCCCTCCACCCCCTGACATTCCTGCTCGATACGATAACATATCGAGATGGAGACACGGGTGATTGAATGCTTGACTGCATGTATTGTTTCCACGGAGACCGCCATATGATCATGCCACTGAATATTGAGCCAAAAGGCTAACGAACCGTCTGGCTAATTCGAGGGGAAAGCGACGCCGACGTCGATCGATCCAACGATCGGGCGGTCGTTCTTTCGGTCGATGGAAGGGTCACTCGATCCGAATTCTGGATCACAACTTCTCTGACGTCAATCCATTCATCTGTATCATCTTCCCGAGGCCCCTGCGGCTATGTCTACGATCGTATGTCCGCATACAGACATCTGTCGACAACTCTATCTCGTTCGAGTGTTCTGTCCGATCGCTGTCAGACACTAAGTAAGGCAAGTGAGCACGCAGCTGCCTTGCCGTCAGGAATGTCAAGCGCAGACCCAGCGAGTTCAGCATGGCATCGATCAGATGTTCTGACGTTGTCGTGGGGGGGATCGAATTGCCACTGATGACACGGATTGCCTCCCGCGTCTAAACTATCCGTGGAATGGATTGACCCTTTTTTCTGTGGCCGGTTCCGACCTTCGTCTGGATGCGACTGTCTGGTTGTTCGTTCAGTCGGTCGGTCGGTCGTTCGATCCGCTCGCTGCCTGGTTCGTTGGTCGGCGGGTTGCTGGTAGCGATCTCCCTCTTTCCGCCGCGAGCGATCCGCGCTGTCCCGCATTTGAATTCGGTATCGGTTTATTCGCCGTTCAGTCATACAACCAGACAGCCAGCTAGTCAGTCAGTCAGTCAGTCAGTCGGCCGGTTCGTCGCTCAGTTCGTGTCTGTGTTCGAGCGGGTGGGTTCCACGAGTCCGCGATCATGACGATAACCGAGTTGAGCGTCCGTGGACCTGGTCCCCTGCTCGCGACCCACCCGCACTTGATCAATGCAACCGCTGGTGCCGTCACCGCGTCCGAAGCCGAAAGCGCGGGACAGCGGGAGAAAGGACTCGAGGATCTCAGAATCAGGATCCAGTCGCTCAAAAACGACAACCCGCTGAGCAAGTTCCGCGAGGACGATTTGTTCCTGCTCTGCTTCCTTCGCTCGAGACGTTTCGACGTTGATCGAGCGTTCAAGTGCTATCAGAAATACTACAGAGTGAGGAGTTCGCATCCAGCGATACTGTATCCTCAAGGCGTCGGACCTCTGGATCGTGTCAAGTTCTTCGAGCTGAACAACGTCACCCTCCAGCCGAAAAGGAACCCAATCGACGGAAGCACAATCTATATCTGGCGTAAAGGTGATTGGGTTCCGGGCACCGACTGGGATTTGGCAGAACATCTCACGCCGTCGTATTGGATGATCGAGCACGCCCTCAGAGAGCCTGCGGTTCAACAGCGCGGTGTTCAGATAATTATCGACGGCGACGGAATAACTTGGTCAATGCTGCCTTACATCAAAGTTATGGTGTTCAAGGTGAGATTGAGGAAGACGGATGTGTAGCTCGAATATGTCGCATCGGTGCTTTGACAGCGCGGGCTTTCTCGGAGAGATTCCGGTCCGCGCAGAGAATGAGAATCCGAGGAGAAAAGTCATCGCTGTCGAGGCGCGTGTCTTGTTTCGCGCGGCCTCTCATATTTCCGGATTAAATACTTAAGTTTCACAGCTCCGTTCAGATCGAGTAAAATGAGAACTCCGCTCGCGAACTTCATGAAGCTCGGGTCCGAGGGCCCTGATTACTTGAGATTCTCGGGAAGGAATCTCGTCGGAGCAGCTCTGCAGTCGTCGGCCATCGCTTCTCGGAATTGAAATAGGCTCCCATCGCTCGCGTGGTCATGACAGCAGCGGATTTTCTCCACATCTGATCCACGCGAAAAATCCATGAGAAGTTGGAGACAACTTCAGAACAAGGTTTCGGAGTTCTCGTCAATGCAGCCGTCGTCTTCGTCATAGAACAATCGTAGCTGTTCTTTCGTCATTCGGAACCCTTCGAGGCGGCGATAATGTTTGGTCGTAAGCTGACGGTCGCCTAAAACTTAACAGGGGTCGTCAAGCACAAAGCGTTTTCTGTTGAGATTGCGGCAATATTACGGTGTCGGTAATGGCCGCGACGGCATTGGGCGGAAAACTTGGACGAGCCACCGCGAGGTAAAAAGAAGCGGAGCTTCTGAAAGCCGTCATCACTCCGCGGGGCTAAAGGAGTCGGAAATATGAAGTCTCCGAAAGCCCCCGAGTTTTGTAATACCGATTACCTGAGCATTCATTTTCCGCCACGAGCTCCCGGAGTCAGATGAACCGCGGTGTGAACGGGGAGCTAGTTTATCCGCGCATATCATAGGTTCTCCGCAAGCGTTCATCTGAGACCGAGCCTCTCATCGGGAGGGAGGCGAGCGGTCACGGATTGCCGACAGGTGCGACGCTTAAGCGACGTCCGTCGTGTCACTTGTCGAGTGTTTTGTTTCCCGACTTCAATTATTCATTAGGGAAGCCGATAGATACACGTCGCTGTACAGATGCACTGTGCGCGACTTCGGCAGCCGCGACGGAATCGCTTCAAGGATCGTCCCTCGAACGATCTCAGCGAATTCTCGATTGCCTCGGCGGAAGAGAGCGCTCGCACTCCCGGTGGTGATGGTGGTGGGAACCTCCGGCAGGAGAGGAGGAGTATTCACGAGGAAAGACGGTGGGGGAGACGATAAACTGCTGCTTCGATACACACCTGTTTGATGCGCGAATCAATGATGTTAAGAGGGTGTGTCGGTGGGGGATTAAGCGGGTGGTTATTGACAGTCGTAACGGAATTATCGGTGAATTGAGGACCGGTGATTCTCGTGCTATCGAAATCCTGATTAGACCCCCCGAGGTATCGAGGATCTCCCTCGTTCTGAATAAATTTCCCATCCGAAGTCTCTCAGTCTCTCGGAAACCAAAGTCCGGGAGGCAGGCCTTACATTCGGGCCTTATTCGACTCGTTCGATCCCTAGCTCCAGGACGGGTCTGGCACGTTCATCGAGAGCTGACGAAAATATTTCACCGTCGCGTCGACGAAAGTCTTTTTCCTGCTTTTGGGGTAGAAACCGTGCTCGGCGAGACCAGATTCATGGGGTATCGGAGCTCCACGGCAGCTCTCTTCGGAAGGTCTGATGCTTCCAGGGCAGATATAAGGTGCTCTTGTGTCCAGGTCCAGAGTATTTGCGATGAGCCCGTCCATCGGGTTTGGCCAAGCTTGTCTCGATAGTCTTCGCTTCTCTTGGAGCCCAGCTCCCGATATCCTTCAAGACTGTGACTGTGCTTCCATGTGATTGCCTCCCTCTGTTAACTATCCCCAAGTGAAACCCACTGAGCGACAAATTCCGTCGTGCTACATATGTTGGCTTTGAACTGTTACCAACCGGTTAACGACACCCGATAATCCCGAATTATTATTTCCGAATAAGGATCGTCGAGGACGCCGAGGGGAAATTAGGCCTCGAGGATGCAGGCTCCCATCATTTTAGACTAGCACAGATGTTGGGTTCCGGGCTCTCATCAGCAGCGAAACTTTCGATCATCAGTTATCGGCTCATGGAACTTCTCTCAATCCTATTTTTTACGAGTGTATTGTTGCGAGCTCCGGCATATGTACTCACGCGGGGGGAGATTCGATTTCGAGCGTGAATCTAGCTCGAAACCCCCTCCCAGCTTGACATTGCGACGGAATTCCTGACTTCGATGAAAACGACTGCAGACGAGTGAAACCCAAAAATATTCTACCCACAGTGCGAGCGTGTGAGTGTATCGACAGTTACCGAGGGGCGCACCACTCGGAGCTTCACACCAATTTCGGGTCCTCGTGTCCGGGCACAGACTTAGTTAGCTCTCCTTCATATTGAACATCTGCATAGATGGAGAGATCGTCGAGCGGATGTACGAATGGATGGAAATTGTCATCGCCGCTCAGGTCGAACGCGCTCAGCAGCTTCTCGTTCCGGCATCCTTCCCCACGAATGCTTTCGGAGACTCTATTTCACGCGCAGCCGGATGATTAATTTTTCCCGCGATCGCGTACCCGGCGGATCGCCGACTCGCTTACTTACTCGGTCCCCGCACCTTCCGACACTCATGCACATAATTGAAGTGTCGGACTCTCGAATGGGAACCGTTAATGCTACCAAGTGAATATAATAGATTAATGAAGTGATGTATGGATTAGTCGGCGGCGCGGTTTTGATGGGCTCTCTGGCCTCACTCGTCGCCGTCGTCGTCGACGACGACATAGCCGTGCTCGGAAATGGGGACGGTTTCCGCTCGAACCCTTGTCCTCGCGTCTTGTTCCTTTTCATTTACTCCGTCTGTATCCTGTTTTTGTTCGCTGCCCCTCCCCCTCACCTCCGGATTCGCTCATCGACGTCATCCGTCTGTCGGAGGCCGTCGAAGGAATGAGGAAAAACTCAATTGAGCACCTGTCCCACGCTCTGGAACTTTCACCGTAAATTGGCTCAAAGGCGAAGTCGTTTGACGAATGAATTGTAGCGCTATCTCACAATGGCCCTCGTTCTCTTGCAGGTGCTCGTTCACACAGTTCAGGACGCATTCCCTGCGCGTTTCAGAGCCATCCATATCGTGAATCAGCCCGGCCTGTATGATTACATCTACGCTTGCATTCGCCCTTTTCTGAAGGCGAAAATCGTGAAGCGAATCCACCTCCACGGAGGCAACATGGAATCATTGCACCAGCACATAGATCCGGAAGTCCTGCCAAGCGAATACGGGGGCAAAGCTGGCCCTTTCAGTAATGACTGGATTCGGAAACAGCTTTACGCTCGCGACGAAGAGTTTCGGCGTCACAGCCACTACGGCTTTCTGAGGGATCCCTCTGCAGCCAACGCGAAATGACGTGATTATTATTTGCTCTCGGGTTTTTGAGTAACCGTGACTCCTTCGATCGATCGCTCTCCCAATGGACATACTCGGACATGACTTGAATTCTTACGAATAGCGATCAGTCCTCCAGAAAATCTCCGACCTCGTTGACCAACCCGACGGAGAACCCCTGTCTAGATTCTAGATGAAGGAAGCGAGACGACGTGAAACGAGGAAGAAATTCACGCTCTTAGCGTCGTAACCATGTTTATACGAACTGACTAGGCCGCAGAGAAATAAATATATTCCGGGCGTCTTCTGAGCAAATCTATCTATATTGGCCTGCTCCTTGATGATGTTGGTGTTGTTGCTACAGTGTGGTGGCTGGTAACGATGAGATCCGGTCAAATACCCGCTGGCTGACTCGGATGTGGGAAAAGGCTCAGAGCCGGCTCGCTTCATCGGTCGAGTGTTCGTAAGAAGCTCTCCAATAAATATAGTGAGCGTATCCGCGCTTATCCGGATGAAGGATGGATTTGCGAATATTTACCCACTTCTCCCACCGAAAGCGATCAACAAGCTCCATGTGGCTGTACGATCGCTCAGTGATTCATCGAGGAACCCATTCCCTCTCGTAAGCGAGGCCACATGTGGAGGTGTCATCCAACTTTTGGAAAGCAAATGGGTTGAATACCTGATAATCAGAAGAAAATCCCGACTGTGACGGGTGAGCTTACCTTCCAGAAGGATTATTGTCGCCCGTGGACGAATTCCGGGAGACGTTGGAGTTTCCAACATGCATTCGGAGCTCAGGATTAGTTGCAGCAAAACGTGACCGGACGTTGGATTTCTTCTCGAATAGTATGTTATATGTTCGGGGCATAAAGAGAACAATGAGACAAACAAGAGACGCCAGAGAAGTGCAGATACACATGGAAATCACCTGCAACATGACAATCACGACAGAGTTTACTAAGGCTGGATTCAATTTTATGCGACTGCGGGAGAAGAGAGACGACGTAGTCGACGGCCGTGTGTAGTAATACCTTGCCTGCGAGACTCGCTAGGCGACTCCAACGACATACTGTACACACAAGAGGAGAGTAAGGAGATATACCGACTAGCTGACTGCACCATATTGCGTTGTCATCTGCAACCGCAGTCTAAACATCGACCGGTCTGACACCGAGCTTTCCGATATCAGATTGCCGCGAGATATTGCTTTCCTCCTGATTTCGATCTCTGATGGACGAAGACGACGCCTCTGTGAACTCAACGACGAACAAGTGGACGGGATGCGATCCCATCGGTCTGTTTTCCCTTCACCTCTCGTCGCTGTCCTCGTTTTATACTGAGCGAAACCTCTCGGGACCAATCCAGAGCTTCCGGAGGGGCGCTAAAGCAGTTCGACTAACAAGACTTTCGATGCATCAAGTGAGCGTGTACTCCTCCGTAACACGAGCTTCTAAATGCACCGAAGAGCGGACTCTCTTCAATTCGAGCGCTCATTTACTAGGATTGGAAACTGCTGCGTCTGCTCTCGCGGAAACTAGCGTTCAGTTCCACGTCCTCGAATTCTGCGGACGCGGAGACGGAAGCGGTGGCCTCATGCGGAGCAAATAGTCCGAGATCGGGAATTCATCCGATTCGTGGAACAATATCGGACGGAGAATAATAATAATGATGATGATGATTTTCTCATAACAATAAATATAATGATATTTTCTTCAGATGATAAATAATGTGGGTAAAGTATTATCCCTCGCCGTATAATATCCTCATCATGACAATCATTATCCTCACCACACTTGTGATCGAGATGTAAGCATGCTCCCATTTGAGAGATCTGGATCTCTTGACTTATAGTTTGAACTTTAGCTCCTCGCAGACCCGAAACTCACCTTATGCTTGCTGCCGAAGTATATTGCAACGAATGCGATCCAAATGACAATAGTGGTATAGACAGTGAAGCCTATTAGTTTAGCTTCACTGAAGTTCCCTGGAATGTTCCGCGTTTGGAATGCGAAGTACGTACAGACACCGAGAAGTCCGCAGGGATAAGCCAGCGGAAACAGAAGTCCTTGTGTGGTGGTGTTGCACATGATGATAACCCTGCTGACGTCCGGGTACACTAACACGGCGTCTGGAGCTTCCATAGTGAGAAAAATGAAACAGCAGGTACCCTCGATGGCAATCGTGATGCCGATGCCGATCAGCTGGTGCTTCAACGAGGTGAAATGCGATCCTGACTCTTTCTCCATCTTCATTTTGTGAGATCGTCGGAAACAATCCGAAATGCGCTTGTTCTTTATGGCTAGCGCACTGTATATGATGGAAAAGCTCATCCCTGGTATAAGTCTGGCCGCCATGCAACGTTCGCAGGTTGGGTAGGCCAAGAGGACAAACGTTGTCACATGCGAAAAGAGCATGCCGAGCATGATGATGTAGGACAGCTCTCGGGTCGACGACTTGACGATCGGCGTGTTGTGGTTAGTCAAGAAGACAACCATGACGAGCGCGGTGAGAACAATTCCTCCAACGGCGATCGAGGTAGCCACTATCGATTCAGAGTCATCCCAATGCAGATGTTCGATCGGGATCTGCTCGCAATCTGTAATGCGAAGCTACGGCTCAGTTTCGGACGGGAAATGCTGCTGTAAACGAAACTATTCAAAGTCTCCCGGGCTTGGAGGTGGATATTAATCAATTACTAGGACCGAGGAGCTCCGTCGAGCTCATTCGATCCCTTGGAGCTCTCTAGAGCTCTCGGTCGTAAGTGAATGAATAAACCAAGATTGTAACTCTGTGTCCATTTCAATTAGTCTCGCGAGTGGCCAGCGGTGAAAGGGTTGTCGTTCCTAAGGCGACAGAGGAAGGCGCTCTTTCGGCTTCTTCCCCTCGCCCGCGGGTCTGTGGAGCTCTTACTCGAGCTCGGACCCCTCATTCCTTTCCTGCCTTTCGCTACAACCACTGACACTCCAACCACTGCTGCTCTTCCCCCTTTCTTGCCCTCCCTCCTCCCCTAGAGTCAGCGATCGTAAACGTGTTGGCCAAGGAGCGAGACTGCAGCTGCACCGAACGCTTTATAGATGTAACGTGACACAGGTGTTGGAATGAGCGATCCGAGATATGGTTCGATTGCCGAACGTGCCTTCGGCTCACGTGAAAACTTGGAAAAACTTTCAGCTTCTCCCAGTCAGCACTCCCTTTCCCCGAGGTTTCTATTCGTTCATTTCCTCACGATCCCTGCGTCATTTACGTTTCTGACCCTATCGGCTCGGGTCGGAGCCGCCATTACACCCGTGACCGCTCCTGCTTGGAGCCTGAGCTCGAGTTCAGATGGCTATGGTCAAGTATTTCTCGGATGCCGAATCGTATGGGAGCAACGTTTTCCTCGGTCCGGATAATTGAGGCACGGACAGCGATACAGTGCGGGAATTGAGATTCCGATGAGCATTTAGTTTGATATGACTCACCCGTAAGGTTATCATTGGGAAAGAATCCCAATTCACATGCTTTGCAAGTGAATTCATCTACTAGAATCTCGTTCTTCTTGCATTCTGTGCACGTCCAACAACATTTGAGCGTTTCTGAGTGAACGTTCTGTAATGGAAGAGAACCCAATTAGATTGCGGTATTTTCACCCCATGGAATCAGTTAGCAATACGCGCGTAATCCCTGCAGCGAATCGTCGTTGCTTCGTTTCTGCGAGTCGCCATTGTCGTTGGTTTTCCGCAGATTTCGCTACCCAACCCCGCGGACTCTCCCATCGGTCTATGCTTGCCTGAGGGCTGACTGATCGGGCTGAACCTTCTGGCTGAGTAGGACCTGGAGTGATTCATCCCAGATTGATCGGAAGGTCTCTGGGTCTCAACGCAAGGTCCAGCGATCCCGGGAGATAAACGCGACCGGAGTTGAGTCGTCGGTCCGCGTCTGAATTCTTGTCATTCACAGGACCGAACGGTTTAACAGCTGTGAGCTTTTCGAGAGGGCCGAATCCCAACAAGGCGATGGGCAGGATCGCTTCCGCCGGCTCGTCGTGCCGATCAAAGAAGCAACGGACGATAATTCCCCTCGTCGGAACGTCATTGCCGCCGAAATGGGATCATGCGCTCATGTGCTGTTCTCCTTCGAGATAATCCAGAGCCATGCGATGAGCGACCGTTCCGTGCTTGCGCAGCGAGGCCGCCTGATCACTTGGAGGGCTCGAGATATCGGTTATTAATTTCGCGAAAACATTCGCGCCTTGTGTACACATACACATCGACAATCTGGGTTCAAAGCAGAACCATCGGGTCGAACCTATTTATATGTAATGTATGTACATCGATTGACTGGACCTCGAGAAGATGAAATAACCTCTCGAAGGGAGGGAGTACCGGAGTCGAGGGCTCAGGAAGTCCGAAGCGTACCTTATACGACAAGTGGGCAAGGATTTCTCATGAAAATCTCGCCCGCAGAAAAGAGAGAGACGATATAAACTGGGGAGACGGCGAGAGAAGGGAGGAGCGTGGGGGTTCCAGTGGAGTTTCGTTCAAAATGTTAATTCGGCATTCTATCAAAAACCACCACCACGACGCTCGACCGTCCCTTCGTCCAACAACGCGTACAGGAGCCGAACGAGGTGGAGAGCGGAAGTTCGAAGTATTCTTCTGTTTCCGCTTGAAGATTCCTCCCCAGGTTCCGATGGAAAAGTTTTGCCAGCCGGAGGAGCTTTAGACGTACCCTCCGAGGAGCGGTCGCCCGAGCTCGCGGGGGGCCAGAAGGGGGCGGGCAGGGCAGTGGAGGGCGAATAGTGAGCGGCGCCATCCTCTTTGGATTCAGTACCGATCGAGAGCGCACTCTAGTATCGTCTTCATTCACCTTGACCTCCTCATTCAGCGACGCTCAAAAACATACTTTCGATCTAGCGACGTGAATCGATCGGCTTCTCGACAGCGACTCGCACAGAAGAGAAGGCCAGGCGAGAAGTCGGATTCCCGTCGCGAAACAGGCGACAGATCCGGGATCCGCAATGTCGGCGCGGCACCGGGACCATGGCTCTAGCTGCCCATCGGCCATTTCGAGATCGTACTTCAACACTACGAATAGTTTCGTTCGAGACATCGTCGAAAACTGATCCTCTCCTCTGGGCTAATGAACATTGAGGTGGAGACATTGACACGCAGCGAGTTTTCGCAAGCTGGAAACGCAAATGCAACTCAAATCCTATTTATCTGCCTAGCAGGACTGGAAATTCGAGATTCTAGAAGAGGCTCGGTGGAGTTGGTCATTGCTGGACGGAGGTGGCGACGGGGAGAAGGTAAGCCGCGGACGAAAGGGTGACTCCGCAAAGAGACTGCCAAGGAATTTCGGCAAAAAAAAACTCTCGTCCGCCAGCCGTAGTGGCAGTGCCGCTCTCAATTTTGGACAAATTCCTTTTCCTCCCTTCCTCGGAATCGCTGCCGCCGCCGCCGCTAGTATATATTGGATGTCGGCCCCGTCGTCTTCCCCGTAGCAACGGAAGCTCAGACATCGTCGGCTGCAGCCTCTGACTGAGACTGCGATGCGGGACCCTGAATGTGAAAGAGTGTACGTATGGAGGGACGAGGATAGGTCTAGGATTATTTTTTTCCGGAGAAACTGGCATCCCACGCGTCAAAAGGAACAAAGGGCTTCCTCTCTCTCGCTCAGTCCTCTTTCGGGGTTCGGCCATCAAGGGTCAAGGGGCAAGCGTTCGTCCGGCAACATGAAAAATGCACACGGCATTCGCTGCTTTCTCGGACAAACGTCCCCTGAGAATATTCCATCTTTGTGATTTCTCAAAGATTTGCGCGGACAGGAAGATGTAAAAGATCCGAGGCGCACCGGGAGGATGCGGCGGGACTCCACAGCGAAACGATGCGCCTTATCTAGTCAGCCGTCGAGCGAGCGAGCGCAAGCTACAAAATAATCGGACAGCGAGATTAGAAGCCCACATGGATTAAAAGCGATAAGCTCGGCAATGAGTTACGATCGGGATAGGCGAGCAGTCGGAACGAGCTCTCTGTGACGACTCTACATAATAGTCACCAGCAGATAACGTCTCAGTGCATCGCAGAAGGGGAACAGCAGCAGCACGGCCAAGGTTGGAAGGGTCGTCCTGGACGCGGCAGCGGGACGGTCCAGTGAAGGATAACGAGGCCGCTCGCTCGCTCGGTCGGTCCGTTGGCCGGACAGAGAAAATTCACTTACTTGTTCCCACAAAGGAAGTCGAGGAAGCCAAACAAAGAAATGAGACGGACAGCAACGAGCAAAAGAGATAAGAATTGGATCCATGATACTGAGTGAGCGAGAGACTATTCTAATATTCAGCTCTTATTCACTCAATAATGAGATATTCGGACGGACCCGCGCCGACACTGCGGGCGATTTCGGAGCACTGGATCGGTCACTTTCGTGAATTAGTAAGGGAGTGATGACGGGGGACTCAACTGCTTTCCGATTGAGATGCAGTGGGCGCTCGCCCCCAGGGAGAGTCGATTTCCAAATAATATAACCACCGCAATCCGAGACGTCTGGGACGCTAAGTGTGAATGAGCCGACTGCAGTGTCCGGCTGCTTGGCACTGACACGGAAAGCTCCGCTCGGTGATACGGAGCGCCGCGTGATTAGAGACTAGGTACCCCCATATCTCGCACAGTCGTTGGCATCTTGGCCAACCGAATATTCAATGAGCGTTTGTCTCGCGACGCAGCCATAAATGGCATCTCGTCTCAGTTCAAGATGTGGACGATGGCGACGGAGCACACCGCGAACTGCACCGATCTTTCACACACAGTCGGTAGGGAGTTCAGTCTGAGGAATCTCGGCAGCGGAATGAAGCTTGTAGGTCAGACTCCTCCGTGCTGGGTGCAAGGAGCTCGGACTCGGACCTCGGCGCAACCGCGACAGAGCCGTCCGATTCCCGAACAAGGAACACGATTAGTCGCTTTCTTCCCGAACGAAACCACTCAGCCTGATTCTTACGGCCTCGACATCACATGAGCGGTACACGTCCTGTAATCCGACGAGAGAAAGAAGCACGCGGCTGGCTCGAGGTCGCACGGGCAGCCAGCCTCGCTAGCGGAGCCGGATAAAAATGATCGGATTCCGGCAGTCGAGGTTGGTGGCAGGTTCAGCTCTCCGCGGCCGAGAAGATCGAGAACTCATTTCTCTGACAACAAAGAGCAGCTAGCTGAAAGTATACAACCATCTCGAGCGGCGCGGACTCGCTCTGATATTGCTCTGACTCCATATGGCTGCGAAGAAGGTGAAATTTTCTTCCCTCACGAACGACAACGATCAATCGGTCGTACGAGGAAACGTAAAACCAGCTGCCTCGGGCCCGGCTGCAGCTGTAACAAACAGGAGGAAAGGGGAAGAGCTCCGGTGAACTCGTTGTCCGCTTTTTCTGAACCCTTGCCTGACCAGTTCCTGTCAAGGAGAAGGGAGCAGTGGGCTGTCTGGGTCGTTATTAGAGAACGTACGAAGAACGAATGAAGAAGCGAGCTAGCGGAGGAAGGAAAAAGCCTGCCTGTTCACTCTAACACCATGTGCAAACCCCATCAGTCCCTTACCCCGCACTCTTGACCGAGCTGTTTTTGCGCCCGAGCGTCACGTTCACCGCTCACTCCTTCGCACGCCAGTGTCTCTTCTCGACTCCAAGAGGGGTACGCCTCAAAGCCGAGTTGTCGGTCGTCGTCGGTCTGTCCGTGTTTTTCCCCCTGGCAACACATTCGCTCTTCCCTTCTTACAGCGCTTCATCTTCCTTCTCCTATTTTTTCCTTGCCGAGCTCTGCGGCTTAATTAAACAGTGCCACAAAACCACCGAGGGTTAGCGACCACAGTTTACCCACTTCTCATGGAGACGGAGCAAACTGATTAACTTTCGATGGATCGGGAGCGCGGAAAAATCATCGATCTGTGAGAAGGACAGCATTCACAAACTATTATTGTGGATCGCCTATCTAACCGAAGACGAACGAGAAGATGTGAGCTAATCATCCTCCCTGTTTCTTTTCGCGGCTGGATTATTGAAATCCGTCGTAGCAATAATAATAATAATGACAATAATTCAATTAATAGCTCGTAGTAATAATAATAATTTAGTTAATAGCGAGCTTGAGCTCGCTATCCTCGAGAAAAGCTCGGTGAAAAGGGAAACACGATAATCTTCGGTCTCCTGGCCCAATCAGGACGACAATCATCTCCGAGACGGAGGAGTACCCCCTGAATTCAGGTTCACCCGGAAATAGCGGGAATTTAAAAGTATCACGGCACCGAGCTCGGCGTCGTCGATGTTCTGCTCGGAGCAGAAAACTCGTCCTCGAGTACCTATTCCGAGCAACCCCCCCCCTCTCCGCAAGCACACGAGCGGCATCGACTTTCCATGGTGTCATACGCACGCTCGAGACTTTAATTGTAGGAATTCCGGGGAGGAAGGCTCCGGCGAGCTGGAAACTTCCTTCCGTCCCCCGTTCTAGCAGCGACTGTACTCTTGAGTGATGAACATCGACTCTGAGCTCTGACGAACTTACCTTCACCTGGCCTTTTGGACATGGCATACTGCAGATTGAAACGGGTGTCTGGTCTCTGGAGAGATTCCAGTTATAGTTCCATTGGATGTTCCCGGAGAGATTGAGTTCTCCGTCATTCCATGCTCCAACTTGAACGTAGTCGTATTTATCTCCGTTCTTTTGGAAATTCATGATGTCGTAGCTGGAATAAAGAAGTTGGTATTCGTGATTCGGGTTTCGGCCGCGACCCCGCACTCATATCCGAGAGAGCCCCGTGCGTCGATGCGTCGCGCGTCGTCTGAATGCGAGGTCCGAATGGTATAGTCCTCCCATCCCGCGTTTCGGCGAGGCTCATCATGCAGAAACCCAGTTGTACATACACCGGGTCGTCTACTCTAAAGGAGTGAAATGAAAGCTCCTATTGCGAATTTGGCCTCGCGCGAAAACGGAGATTCCACAAAGAGTTCTCGGAAGAAAAGTCTTCGTAACAAAACTTTCGCAAGAGCCCTGATAATACTCGCTTCTCCGGTCAGTAAGTCGGCATTCTGCATAGAGCTTCTTGCAGGCCAGCGAGCCGTATTCAGGCAGCGTAGCTCGGTCCCGGAGGAGACTTCTTATCTGCGTCCTGGCAACACGGCAGGGAGTCCATATGGGCTGCGTTATTAGCGGCATTTATCATTCGGGGCATAGGAAACGACGGGGCGAGGGAGAAGCCGCTCGGTTTGCCGTCCGTCTACGCCTAAAGCAGTAAGTACGGCTGGCGACGACGGGTGGCCGATGTGTGGCGGGAGGAATGCGGGCGAAGCGGTAGACGAGCGACGCATCGGGTCACGTGGGGGGGGGGACGCGACTGTGGACGAGAGAGGATGAGTCCGCCATGGTGTTCAGAAATTGATATCGAGCGCGCAACCGACGGATAGACGCGGCAAACGAGCACCCGCGGCTGTCGTATCGGTCAAACATCGGAACAGAAACCGAGTCCGCTAGCTTGGTGGTTGTCCGACGGCTAGTCGGTTATCGGCTGCGTATATCGCGGCGATCAAGTTCCGATAACCGAACGCTCGGTGATGAAACAGAGCGGACAAACACAGGCCGAGTCGGCAAACAGCAAGCCAAATCAAGATGTCTTGTTTGTCGAGCAGCGTATGACGTTGCTTTCAGAAGGCAAGAGGGACCATCATGGGAAGGGGGCAACCGAGCGCTGGCCCGAGGAGCTGGTGACAGTGCCGAGGAGCTCGACCACTTGTCTGCTTCCGTGGTCGCACGGATGCCCGTGCACTAGATAGAGAGCAACTCCTCACCGTGAGCTCAACATTTCCTTCGCCTCCTCGGTCTTGACCATTTCTCCCTGTTTTTGGCTTTCCGGAGCATTTTCGCGCATTTTCATCCCGTTGTCGAATGGGAATTCCCCTCGGCTCCCTCTCCCAGCCCAACGGATCCTCAATATTACAGCCGTCAAGAGTTTCCCGATCCGCATCGCTCATCTTTTCCATTCGTGTCGAATCTCCGTCAATACGTTTTCTCTGTGGTTGATTTCTCTCCGTTATAATCGACCCCTATGATTCCTCTTCCGCCTCCCCTCGTCCAGCTTACTCCTGTCTCCTGCTCCATTGAGGCTTCGGGTGATTCATTCGGGATCTCACGCGCGAACCACGAGCAGATCGTCCCGGCCGTGATACGTCACGTTTTTCATTACAAAAGTTCCCGGTAGGGAAGCCATCGAGCAAACAAAGGTGAAGATCTGTCGGTTATGCAAGTCCGCTCGCTAAGCTCCTCATGACAGCGGGTTCTCTTCCGTCGACTCATCTGAATTCTCTTGTTCTCGAACTCGACCCGAACCCGAGCTCGCCCGCTCGTCTCATCCGTCTGCCCGCTGGATCTTAGCGCTCAGGCGTTTCAAGTCTTTCGCCCCGACAAACTTTGATGAATCGATCGGCTCGTAGATCTCTTTGGCCGGCGCACCACCGAGTTGAATGGACGAGTGGAAGAGCGAGTCACTCAGCGAATTCCCTGAGTCGACCTTTGTATGTACGCGGAAGTTCGAGGGGGCTATTAAAAGAGTTTTCATTACTTCTACCAGATCAAACGTGAGCAAACTCCGGGAATATTTACGGCTCGAGTCGGAGCAACTTTTCAGTTTGCCACGACTCCCGAGCCGCGGCTCCGGCTCGCTGCCGCCGCTGTTGTTAATAGTTCAAGACGATTAGGATCCCTGAATATTAGATCAACTCGGCAAAGAATACCGGAATCACTAAAATCATAGATGATGATAATTGCACCGCCGATGAGGAGAGGCGGCACTTTTCTGTTCTCTCGAGACGTGCTACCCGGAAGCCACGCTCTCGGTTCGTCGGGGACGCCGTACTCGGGCGTTTCCATCGCGGTGGCGGTTTTTCTCTTGTTTGTCGCACCGGAACCACCGAACGCACTTTGACCCTCACCACGGGGATGGATCCATCCCCGTTCCTTGATCCGAAGCGAATTATTCCATCAGGAGATGGGAAGATGTTACTGAGCGTTAGCCTCGCCACAAAACTCATCTTCCCCACGCTTCCATCGCAATAACTCCACAGATATTGCTCAAGACCTCACAGGCATTCCACAGAGTACCGGAGACAGAAAGTTCGGGGGATCCTGGAAAATTCGGCGAGTGAGCGGACAGCTGCACTTTTTATGGACGAGACTTAGCCAGTGGATCTTAGAAAAATTTCCCGGGCCGCGGGAAAAAATCCCAGTGAACATGGATACCCCGCTCAGCAGCCAGCTAATTGATTTCTGAACGGAGAGTCACAGTGCTTAGAGCTCCTCGCGGGACCTGAGCGAATCCCGCCTCCTCCGAGATCACGTACGACGGATCTGCATTCTCGGCATCGAAGACCCTCGATGCCGAGGATTCGGTATTGGGGCTCATTCGAGTCTGCCCAGATGATCGTTCGGCTCAAATACTCTTCCTGCACTCGTCATCACGAGTCCCCGGAATTTCAAACCTCCTCTCCCAGCGGACGACCGAGGTCCCAGATGCAGCCGCAAAGTTTGCTGCCAGCCACAAAACAAACCTTAACTCGGAAAACACTATCTAGGATCGGCAACGAAGAACGCGAGAGGGCCCACCGATCCACCGACAGACGTGCCAAGCGTGAAGAATGGAAAAGAGAGAGAGCACGGGAAGAAAAATTGGCAGATGGAGACAAGTGAACTCGCCTCGGGAGACTCCTGCAAGCTGCGCAGAGGAACCGGAGCCGCAAGTCGAGAAGTGAGCTCCGATGCGCCGCACTTGCGGAGACGACGTATTTGGTTGACGTGTCGCTGAAAGCGCGAGGGAGTCTGATATTGCTTCGCTATGTATCGACTGGCGCGGTGCGGAGCTTGCACGTTTTCATCCATCCGTCCGTTCATCCGCCGCCCTCCCCTTCTCGCGTAAGTCCGTGCGTTTGTCCCAGTCTTCATTTGAATGGCTGTCGCTCCGGCTGCCCCGGTCGCGTTCCCCTGAGCCGGCAAACCATCTCGCTAGCCAGCAAGTCGGTCTGTGTATTAGTGTGGAGCTCTTGCGAAGGTTATATCTAGAAGCAAGCGTCAGGCAGCCGCTTCGGAATTAGCTGGTTTTGATTACAAGAGCCGTCCGACCGCCCCGTCACCTAGTTGGATTGCAGCCCGGCTGTCGACTGCTGTTCCGGTGCGCGAGCTATATCCGGAATTGAGGATCCTTACCGAACGCCAAGCAGCTCTGGAGCTCGGCGTGAAATTACTCGACGACGGACGGTGCTAGCGGTGGGGGGCTGCGACTCTACTTGCTGGCTTTGCCGCTCGCCTGCTCGTGAACCCGTCCTCCGTTAGTTAGCTCATCCGTTCGTTCATTTGTCCCTCGGTCCGTCCGTCCGTCCATCATTGGGTCGGCCCTCCGGTCGGTCGCCGGGCGGACTGTTCTCGCAGTCGGTACGGGCTCGGCCGGCGGGCCGCGAGCCTAACGAAGGAACAACTGACTCACTAAGTTGCTTGCTCTCTCGCGGTGCGACTCCGAACATGCATGGGTGGGTAGTCGAACAACCTCTGCGCTTTGATCCCTGACCGAGAGAGGAACAGAACGAATTGACTAAGCGGCCAACCCACTGAGCGAACGAGCGAGTGAACCAGCCCGCCCGCCTGCCTGCCCGCCAGAGACTCAACGACGACGACGACGACAGAAGTAATATCAGCTTCCGAACGGAGGGAAACCGGACGAGCGGATCGTTCAGTCGCCGGGTACGTTGAGATCGGGGAAACGATCGCGAGAGAACGGAGAGAGGGCCGAGAAGGGATCGCGAAGAGTACAGAGGCATCCAGGGGGAAAGAGAGGGGGCTAAATATCCGTTCCCACTTTAGTTTCAGTCAGTAGTAGCCGAAACAGCCATGCTCGGGCATCGAGCTAGCTTGAACTGGGGTGGCGACCCCACAGTGTTCAGCTGCTTGATGCCGGCCAGATTATCTCTTATTCCTCTCCTGCACCTCTTTGACCGAGGAATCGAGTACCGCGCAGGATCTTAACGGTCTCCGGCTCGCGGCTCCCGAATCATGTCTTGAAGCCTCGTCGCATCGATCTATTCAGTGAATCAACCCAAAAGCCTCCCCGATCCTCGGTTTCCCCCGGAATAATTCTGGACAGCGTCTGACGGAGACTTCAGCTGGTCGTTTCGTGAAAACCGCTCGTGGAAATTCTCGTCTCGGAAAGGAGCGAGTTCGTGCCTCATCCTCGGGAGCCGTCAGTAGACAGGGCTCCCTGCTCCATCCAGAAAACACCCAACGGAGAACGTTCACAAGGAAAATCCGCAGTTGCAAATGTGTCTCGATAGCAAGATCGGTGAATCGATGGGTACGGGACTCTGCATCGAGTAGCGAGTGAGGCCTGCGGAAAAATGTCTTTTGGGACCGTATCTTCGCGCTAGAAAAATTTCTGCCATTCTGTCGATGGAGTTCGGTTGAGCGGACAGACTGCCAACCTCGTGAGCCAGAGGCAATAGAGCACGATGATTGTGTCGTCTCAACGACCTACCGACCGACTAAGCGACCACACGCCTTGTTCGATCCGTGCCGCTCCCCATACAGTAAACAACGTAGCGGCTTGTTGGTTAAGCAATGAGGAACTCTGTTGTCGCAATAGCGCTCGATATCACCACGCTGTAACCCGAATCCGTTTGCGTTCCGCTACATCTGGGACCGTTCGACCGTTCCTCTCGAGATTCGCTCGAAGACACGGCCGCTGAGCCCATCGGGACCGCCATAAGGAGCGAGTCCTCGCACTTACTGATGCTTCCGGCTCAGAGATCGCGGCCCGGGCTCAGCTCGAGGAAGCTTGAGCCCCATATTCATCATTGATGACAGTCACAGAGGATCCGATCCCCTCTAGAAAATTCTCAACGATGGGAACAGACCTATTTAATGCCCTGCGTCTGTACCGAAAACAACGGGCTCAAGAGGCAGAACGACAGAATTGTAAACAAGCTTCCCTCTGATGTCTCTCGCCCCCGTTCCTCACCCGGGGAAAAGCAGAGGGGACGGGGTGGAGCGTGCCATTGACTCGAGGATTTCCGAAGAGTGAGCTTCATCCTATTCCGGCTCGATGCACTTATTTTTTTTCCAAGCGTTAAGGAAAAACGTCCGAGGGATCGTCGACTGGCTCTAAGCGATCATGGAATCGATTCATGAATCAGTTTCTGATAGTAGTATATCCCCTTGCGAGACGAGGGAGGATGTGGGTAAGCGAGCGAAAAGCGGCAGACTCCGGTCTCCTGACACAGGAGAGAAAACGCACATTTTTGTCCACCCGCAAGGAGCAATGCCTCGCTTGATCCCGAGATTTTTGTCCGTTCCGTATTAAGGCTGCAAAAACCCGGCATCTCCCCACCCCTCTCAAGCGCCAGTCTTCCCCGAATCCATTTATTCGGTGATCATTTCTACATTCATCGGCGGGATATTCCTCCGCAAGGCTTCCGATCGGGATCGTCCGAATAACCTGACAGTCACACCAACCGAATTCATTGGCGAATGCGGAATTCTCTCTGCAACTCTCTTGAAGGAGGAGCTTCGTAGCTCGTCGGCCGACAACAGCCCTTCTTATGAAGTCAATCATGATAAGACTCGGATTGAGAAATAAATAGGAAGAAGGGGCCAGTGCGATGAGCTCTCGAGCGGAACCACAGCACTCTTCGGGTGCCGTCCTTCTGAGACCGATCAGCAACAGCGGTAGAAGTCGCAGGCAAAACCTAAATTGTTTCCGAGAATGCCTCCTCGCAGGGAACGGCCGCCAAATGAAGCGATACCTCGGGGGAAGGGGGGGAGGGTTTGCGAGGAACTTCTGAATTCATGACATTCCTCGAATCTAGTGTCTGGCTTCGAGAATCGATGAGATAAACTTTCCAGCCGTCTTCACCTGTCGAGAGCCGCCAGCCCTCGGAATCGGTAACGCTTAGCCGCGGCTTGGAGCTGTCGCAAAGAGTCTTGTTGACTTGACGAAAATCGGAGTAGATTGGAAAACAGATCGAGCGGAAGATCGGAACACGAAGCGAATCAAAGAGCGAAAAAAGGAAATTCCGGAGCTCGGCGGCCGCCGACCGTAGTAATGGCTGCCACCGGCTCGATGAGAGACGACAATACCCCGACGGAGCGATCGAGCGAGCGAGCGACCGATTGCTTGCTCCGCACGGAGGAACGTCGTCGCCAACGTCGCCATCCATTGAACGTGACTTAATCCACAGAATACAGCAGAAATCTCTCTTGTCACAACGTATTGAATCTACTTCTTTGTTGACCCGTCTCGAACGTTCCTGTCTTGTTGTGACGTTCCGTTTTTCTTTCGAGAATTCTTTTGCTACGGAACGCTCCAATTCGAATCAGACAATGCTCCGTGCAACAATCTACCGAGACGGCGGCGCTCGACTTCGCAGCGGGCCAGACGCTCCCACATTCCATATAAAATTTATACGGTGTAGAAGAGGTCAACGAGAACTTACTGTCCTGGAGGATCTCCGTTGTCCATGAAGAAGACACGGCTTTCGTTGCTGTGCACGTCGTCTCCGTACTGAAAGCGAACCTTGAAAAGGTGATGGAGCAGGATGGAGCCATTGATGGGCAGCATGGCACTGCAGAGGCCGGTGTGATTCGGACAGAATTGTTTATGCATGTTGTGTAGTCCATGCGCCATCGTGTAGATGGATTTCTTCACAAACTCTAGCTTTGTATCTTGCTTGTACGTTCCCTTCTGACCAAGTCTTTCTGTACCGGTGCACATGCTGTAAGGCAGAACTACATTAGACAAGCCCGATGGGAGAGGACGAACAAGAAGCGATAGGTAACTCGTTCGCTAATTCGATTCATGAGCCTCAGCTGCCGGCGCGCCTTGGAAGCGATTTGTTCCGAGCGCGTGAGAAATGGTAATTGCTCAACAGGATAGAAGCGAACGGCTTCGAGGGACCGAGAGAACGCCGCCGGTGAGAGAGAATGGCGGCAGATAGAGGGGGAGAGAGGAACGCCGAGAGACGGGACGGAATCGGGCTAATGGATGCTTACCGTACACCCTGAGCGGCTTTCGTCGTGTTGAATGAGCAATCAAAGCGATCTTCCCAAAACTCACGGAACCAAGGGTTCCTCGTATTGTTGAAGGGATTCAGCTTGAAGTAGTATTTATCGAAATCCATATCGTAATTTGTATGGAGCCGTACTGAAATGGAGCCCTGAGCATGATTCTCGAGATTCGAGACGACATCCATTCGGTCCGACCACCCGTCGCTGCAAGTTTGAGAGAAAAACAACACGTTAGCTGGAGGTCGGCCACGGGAGTTTTTCCCCAATAGGGTCCCCGAAACCGTGGTCAAGCTCCCTCGAGGAACGAGCCTAAATCTATGACCGCTTTTTATCACGTTCCGTGGTCGATAAGAGATTTCGCACCTTGACCGGTGCTTGTTTGGAAAAATGGCTTGAACGGAAGCCAAATCTCGGACCTCCGTTTTTAGCTCACGGTGGACAAGAAAAATATCGCTCAGCCACTGTCCCGATCCCGAGTAGCTACGGCTGCCCTTACTCGGCAACTAGAGCTCAGTGATTCAGCGAGGCAGGAAGCGGCAGTATACGGTTGATATTCGCTCTTGTTTTTTTCCGAGTCATTGGTCGGGACGTTTTTTGTCGTCCCGTCTTTTTCCGTATGCAGTAGAAAAATTAGCCTTAATGGCCCTCCCTGGTCTGTGGCCATTACTGGCGACACTCCCGCGACCATGAAATAACGACCAGCGGATGAGTTCCACAAACGAGGAATTCCGTCGATAGCGTATGTCATGGCAGTGAGCGGCAGCTGCTGGCTGTCGGAGCGGGAGTCGCTCATGACTGCTAGCAGACCCTCCGAACTCTTTTCCCCCTCGAGCCCTTCCGTCCTCTTTCCAGTGTTTGTTTGCCTGTCCACGACGTCGGCGATGTTTAATTCTTTTGAACGTATATTGGATTGAATGAGACGCTCCTTGTTCCTTGTGCTTCCTTTCAAGGCCGTCGTCGGTGCTGTCGAAGAAGAAACGGAGCCTTCAACACATGTCAAGGGGTACCAAATAAGGGATCGACATTCGGGAAACAGGGTGCCAAATCCGCCGTTGCCACGACCGCCTTGTGTGAGGGAAGCAAGGCAAATACAATTTTTCGCTCGAACGCCTTTCTACAGCCAAGGAAGTCACGCGGGCAGGCAGGCGGGCGAGAAGAAGAGCAGACATGGAATTCCAGGAGAGAGAGAGAAAACGACGGGGAGCAGGGATGGAAAACGCGTGGACTGGGCCCTGGAAGATCCCTGGAGAGAGAGGGAGAGATTCCAGGCGGGCAAGAGGCTTTGGAAGGACGGGAGGTCTCCGCTCAAGCAGACGGGGACCGAAAACCCTAGGAGGGAACGACCAACAGGCCAGAGATCGTAATCTGCATGAGAATGGTGACCGCCATTGCATGGGATTGGAGGCTCCCCGCCCCGATGTCGAGTCCCACCTCCCGGAAGCCTGGGAATTTCTCCTGGGGGGCCTTCACTTTCTCCGAAGTTCTCCTTCTCTTTTTTATGGTCCCCTCCCTGATGCCTTTACCCGATGGATGGAAGGAGCCTCAGACAGCTTGCTCTTTGCTCGCTCGTTCACTCGCTCACTGGCTCTGCCGATTTGTCTGTTTGCTGACGTTCCTGCTGCCGGCCATGAGCTTGAGCGTTGTGAGTCTCTCGCCTCCCTTCGGCCTTGGCTTCCCTATTCAACAAGCTTCCCCCCAGGAAGCTCGGGCAACTGTTTCGCAGTGAAACCTTCGGGAATCCTGTTTGGTTCTGTCTTTTACTTCCGTTGCGTTCACCACGTATACAAACACAGTCCACAAAGGCTCACTAACGAGCGATGAATTGTGTGGCTATCACTGGCGACAGACGCATGGCTGTGACGAGCACAGCTACCAGCTTCAGCTATGGCTGAAGTGCGATGTTCGCGGGAGACAGCGGAATTTCCGCCTCAAACGGACGAAGCATTCTATTTTCTGCGGGAGGCTGAGGGAAAGAACGATTCCCACTGCAGAAGCGATCACCGACTTGTTTCGGCGGATAATTTTCAAATGATTCGTACCGGAGGAGTATGTCGTGGAGTTGTTTAGCGCTCCCGAGCCGCGAGAGCTTATTCCGTTGATTTGACTCACTGACTGAGATGAAAATGCAATGAGGTTCCTGCCTAAGGCCAAAGCGGATCACCTCATCTGCAGCCTTGCAAATTATGCCCTCCCGAGCCGCGGGAGAGCGAGGCAATCCCCGTGTCAGAAGATGAGGAGCATTCAGTTCTGTCTGTGCTCGAGCTCCACCTCTCGAGGTCTCTCACCTCATGAGGGCCTCGGGTATCCGAAGCTCCGGAGGACCAGAAGTGTTTGGTCGACAGCCGTCTCACGGCAGTGACCGAGCAATAAACTCTTGTTTGGTGGGGAAAGAACTCTGATCCGACAACACGAACGACGTGAGCCGAATGTCGATCGTTGAGGAAATCGACGGAGAGAATGCTCCTCATTCAGTTTCCATCGAACGGTACGATCCCGCCGCAGGAAGGCACCACCATACGAAAACGACGAAAAAGGGAATCCCAGGACCGTTTCGAAGAGGCCACGCTCCCCCCACCCCCGAATTCATTTGTCATACGGCTAAGCGGAAATGCACCCAGATTCGGCAGTCGATTGGAATTCATGAGGACGATCGGCGGGGCTTCCGCGATGGCTGGAAAGCTCACCGAAGAAATGGGGCAACGCGCCGGAGTAGGACACGCCGCAAAGCACCAAACGAAAATTAACTCTGACCGAGTCCGAAGCCGCTTCAGTTTCGGCTCGGACATGCGGCCCTGAGAGCTGTGACCCGGAGCAATGGTCACTGGGAGCAGGGCAGCCAAGAGACGGAGACCCTCCATTCATTACACACATCGGGCTGACTCAAAGCCAGCCGACAGTGGTTCGAGCCCCTCCCCCGCCCCCCCGAGAGTCTCGAGCGCTGTCGGTGGCGAAGGAGTTCCGTATGCGTAATGATTTGTTGTAATGAGGAGAACAGAAGCAGCTGTGGCGGGAGCAGGAACGGTCCGAGGAGTAGCTTCGGCGGTCGAATCAGGAGCCCCGGATCTAAATGTCCCATCATCACGCTACGCTCATTCGGAAGAGGTGAACGGACCGCGGGCGAAGTCCGCCGGCTGGCTTCGTTGTATTCTCTAAACTCTTCTTCGTCTCTCGCCTCCCAGCCAGCTCAAGGTCAGCGGTCTGGCACGCAGACACGTTAGATAGTGATGACCTCGGGAGTTCATCGTAAACGAACTGTACTCCTTTTCACGATCTCTACAGATGGTGCCTGCGTCCCTCGGAATCCAGGGGCTCCGACCAGGGGGGGGGGGGAGCGGGGCGGGACTACTTTTGGCGGACGAGCAAATGTGCAACGACGTGCAGGAATCCGTTTTTCCTTTTGTTCTCCTTGGTTCGGTTTTTTTTTCGGGCAAGACAGCTCCTGCGGCAAGGCAGCGGTGGCAAAGGCGGAACTCAATTCTTTGCACGAAGAACTCTAAAGACGACAAGACAATTCTGAATTCTGAACTTGAGTGAGGCTCCGTTGCCGCTGCTGCAACCGCCGTCGCCGCTGCTTCAGACGGAAGAACAATGTGCAGCGCTTTCCGTTTCGAGTCGAAGCCAGTGAACTCGCGTTCGCTTATCGGGAGTCCGAATTTCCGACTCGGATCCGGGGAGCGCGTATGATGGCAGTGCGGCGCTCCCGATACGACGGCGACGTGAAAGTTTCACAACCGGCGATGAATGAGTGATTTTTTCCCTGGCCGACGCGGTGATAGAGCAGAAATCTGAACCCGTTGCAACTCGCTGGCTCTGAGTGACACTGTGCACCAGCTGCTGATAACAAATCGAGGAGTCGTTCGCCCGGCCGCCGGTTCTAGCGCTCGCGAGATGTTACAGTCCATTGGTTTCGTGAGAATTTATTGATTTCTCAGTTGTCATTAATCCCTTTTGTTTTCCAATCTGGTGTTCCTCGATGACACGACGATGTTCTCCGAGTGGATCGAGGCTCGCGAGCGAAGGTTCCCAGATAGGGCGGAGCGTAGGAAAACCTGCTGACTGGAGTGTGGCGTCCCCAAAGTTTCCCTCGGACGAAAGAGACGCCGGTTGACATTCCCGACCTGCCGAGAGCCCGCAACCCGATGATGGGAATGAGTCCATGATGAATGAACGCAGCTACGTAGCAAGGCCGCGGGGGGGGGGACATCGCTCTGTCATACAAAAGTTGCCGTCGGTCACCGAGAGCCGTCCGCTCTTGGGCAGTCGGCGATGTGATTCGGACTCCGGACGACAGTCAGTGTATCGATGATATTGAGCTGTTTCTGCGAAGAGCTTGTGTGGCAGCCGAACTCATACGGCTACGACGAAAGAGAGAGGCGGAGCGTCGCGATCTGTCTGTGGAGAACCAATGTAATCGTCTCGGAGGAGCCGATCATCGAACGAGGAGAAGGAGCTTACCTGCCGAAGATAACGAATTTGCCCGTCAAACCCATCTCAGCCGTAGCATTTAGTAGACTACGCACGGTGTACCCTTCGCAAAAGCAAACAATCACCTGGAAATAGCGTTATTTTCATTAGCTATCTTTTGGTAACGAACCCAGTGATAGAATTCTGATTCCAGTGCTCAATGATCTTTATCAGCGCCGACAGGATAGCTCTCGCGGCCGAATGCATCGAGCTCATGTTCAATGTTGCATCTATCTATCCCAATCCTCATGGAAACAACATATGAACTCAGATGTCTCTTTACTCGACTTCACTCTTCTCATGATTTATTTCTGTTCCGATAAATCATTTATAATTTTCATTTTCCTTCAGCACATCATTCTCCCGTTCGGGGTCCTCTGGTTTCTCTTACAAGTTTCGTGGTGAGCGGAACGAGACTTTTGGGCTACCGGAGTTTCCGAGAGTTTCGCTCAAAAATTAGTCTTTATTACAGGCTCCGGCCATCGGCCCGCGACGACCGCGCTTGCGAAACTGAACGCTCTCCGTCTACGAGCACAAAAGGGAGGGGGGCAAGGGGAACGAGAACCGAGAAGCGTGTCGGGTATTGTTCTGCCGGGAGTTCAGAAAGTCCCTAGATTTCATGGAACATGCCAGCTGGAAGTTTAATGGGATTTTTCGAAGCGCCACAGCTCGAAATTATGCGATATCGGTATTCGGTGGGAGCGAAAAGGAAGGCGCTTCGAGTATTCCACTGACGTGACGTCACTTGAAGGATAGCTGATTGTTTCATCGGAGTGAATTCATACTTACTTTTGCGTTTGGGAATTCATCGAGGGACTTGAGAAGCATTTCGTATTCCGCGAATGGTGCGTTGTGGTTTATAACGGCTGTGGTAGCCACGCAAATTCCCGCTTCTTTAGCCCGAGTGTGAAATACTTCCATACCACTATTACCGTAGTTGCCTGAAATGGAAATCCATCATTGGTTCTCGATGAGGAGAGATATCCAAAAACCTCGACGCTGCCGTCCGTAGAGGGTAGCAAACGCCTCGATCGAGTGAGGCATGCCTATACTGACTGACGAAAGCGAATTGATTAGTGTCCCGAGGAGCGGAAATCGAAATATCAGTCTCGGATGCCCCATGCATAGGCGTCGTTCGCTGACAAATGTAGATACAAACACACCGCGGTGCGCACAATCGGTCCCAGTGAATTCACGGGGCAATATCTACGGGGCCCCGGGGACCGTCAAGCGGGGTATCGTGGACGGGAGTCTTTCTTTTTCCGATGTTCCACGTCTTCTCCGAGTTCCGCTCGCTTCACCGTCTTCCTGTCCGACGGGAAGCGAGCTGTTGACTCGGCTGGTATGTTGACAAAATCGGCTCCTCGACCGAGGAGTCGCAAGTTCTCCTGAGAGAAGAGGATATACATCCTCCGCTCGGCGCTGCTTAGCTCGGTGAGTCCGGTAGGTTTGCTCTCTCGGGGGCATCGCTGTGGTCGACGTAGTCTGGCTTCGTAACTCGATGCGTAACCCAGAGAAAGCTGGAGGCATCCAAACGACCGAGACCATACGGGCATTCCCCGTAAGGGTCGCCTTGCGGCCGTAGTCATAATTCGCGTGAATGATGTCGCGAGCCCTCCTCTCTCACAATGAGCACCGTCCGTGGTCTTGATATTCGGTTTCGTCATCGAGCCGCTAAAAACTCATTTCTCCGATTTTATGTCGGGGTCGCCGTTCCTCGTCTCGATTGAAATTATATATCGTCGCGATGAAGGAACCTGACGGAGTTCTCATGGGGGCCCACGGAGAGCCCACCGCGTGGAAACTCGGCGAAGGAAGCAGCCTAATTTACTGGAGTAACTTTTTCCTGAGGATCGAGACGGATACAGAGCTTTGAAACTTCCGGCGAAGCCTCTTTTCGGTCACTTCGGACGTTCTCCTCCTCGTTAAGACCCGGTCATCGCTGCGGCGCCGACGGTCAAACGAATAGCTTCGCGTAGAGAGGCGATTCTCGACCGCAGACAAGACGGTCCTCGCGAGCGACAGACAGCAGACGAACGAAAGACCATTAGCTACCGAAGCGCAATGAAGTACGACTTGTGTGAAGCACTGCCCAATGCAACTGACGTGTGTCGAGAGCATCCATCGGCACGGACAAGAGTCAAAAACTGGAGCGGAGTGCCTCCATACGAGAAGGAGCTCCTCATTTCATGGTCGTTTCCGGGCCAGCTCCGTCGCCCGTCCGGAGCCGGGAAGGCTCAGCCACTGTTTGGCTGTACTCGTTCCTTGACAGTTCAGAGAAAGACTGACGCTTCCCGAATTATTACTGACTGCTCAAAAGAAACATTCAGGGAGCTCCTCTGCCAAGGTTCCGTTGTCTTACGTTGAGCCTCGAGCGACACTCTCCGGATAGAGAGAGCGAGGCAGACAAGGCGGGGTGGGAGGTTTCTGGGAAACTTCGCTCGATGAGCATACCGATCGGAGCACGCGGTACCTCACGGAGCGTTTCCGCTTTCTGCAAGGACGGAATGATGCCGTCGAATTCCTCGATCCGGTTGCCCCCCCCGCGACCCTCATTATTCGCTCCTTTCGCAAGGTAACGCTCGTAAAGCACTTTGAATCGATGGTTTAATCAAGAATAATAATAATTTTCCGAGAATCCAAGTGTTCCTTGGAAGTTTAGGTTCCGCACGCCTCGGAGGCGCGCACTGGCAAAACGGAGAATTCAATGCCGTGTGCAGGAGGCTCTACATAGGGATTTGTCGCTTCGGTCACGTTCTGCGCCTCTGTATCGGTCTGCGATGGAGTTCTTCCGTGGCTAGCGGCGGGAGGACGTGTCTTATGGTAGATCCTTCGCTGTCTCATTATTAGCGACACTTGAATCCTGAATCGGTCTTGGTGATCTCTAGCGATTATCTAGACGTTTGTGCGAGCTCATGTTCGGCTCTTGTCATCGGTATCCAGATCTTTGAGTTTATTCTCCGGGGAAAATCTCATCCCTTGAGCCACGCTCCTCTGACCGCCAATAATTATTCTCCTCGTCAGTAGTCGTTTCTTCGATGAGCTCTCAGGACCCGCGACCGGAGAGACTCTGGATAGATACGCTATTCGGTAATGTCTCCATGAGGACGAGACCCATGACCGTCAAGTTCTGGTTCAGGTTATATGAGAGGACCATAAAATGTATCGTAAGCAATTCAGAGTCCACGAGCTCAAGTAGGGCCGAAAGACGGCTGTTCCACTTTCGATACGGTGACGGCGGCCGCGCTTAAAGTCGATTTTGAAATTGGCTGGGAAACCATCGACGCTCCTGCCCGCGTCCCGGCAAGGCCCGAACATCGGACCGAATTCCTGAAATGGCTCAGGAATGTTACGATACTCAACATCTCGGATAGCCCTCGCTATGAGGATGAGCTCTACTCCCGTGAGAGCAAAGAAATGCTCACAGCTGCTCGGGTATCCGCGCAAGGAAAGTATCTGAATATATACGTGGGAAGGATGCGAACGGGCTCACGTGTGTAACTAGTTCTTGTCACGCTCTTCGCAACTCGGAACTCTCGCACCGCAGCATCGGAGGATCCGCGCCGCGTTTCTGCTTCCGCTCCTCTGGAAGCTTCCACACCAGAGAGCAGTGACTACCAAATGGAGCATCGAATTTAGCGAGGAAGAAAAAAGAAACCCACGAACGAACACTGTACGCGTGTTTGCACCCTCACAACGAACAACCTCTAAAAGAACAACATATAAATGTTGCGATGCCATCCATCGTGTTGAACGACATGTTCTGGTGACATATGGAGACAGGTGGGTAGGCAGGCAGGCAGGTCGATCGGTCGAGCGACGAGCGCGCGAGCCAGCGAGGGGGCGGGAAAATGGCACGAGTGGCTTGCATGGTTTCGATGCCGAGAATGACTGTCTGTCTGTACGCATGTATGGACGTCGAGCCCTACACCAATCCGCCTGCTTGTCGGTCGTTCGCTCACAGTTGGCTCAGAGCCAGCCGATCCGACTGATGTATCACCGTAGGACAAGCTCTTCCGTAGACATCTCATACGTGGAAAATACTACGAGCTCCCAGTCTGCTCTACACGGGAATGTCTGTCGATGATTTTCGTGTCCGATCGAAGAATGGGAGCGTCTTCGGGTACATTGGGTGGCTGGGGTTCGAGAAGGGATCAGACGAAGTTCGGGGCTTTCTGGAGCTTCCGAACTTCAACGAAGCGCGAAAAGTTCGAAATATAGTTTTCGGCTCGAAGATACGAAAACAGCGCAGTAAGACGCTCTGAATTCCATGGTTTCTTTCTAGCAGTGGATTCCGATTTCGGGCCGCCCGACGGGGAGGATGCAGCTCCCAGTAAACCCTTCGAGGTTGGCGGTCTCTTTCCCCCCCCTTCCCCTCCCCTTTCGTCCAAGATGTGAGAGGGAGAGCGTCCTCACGGTTGGGGGAAAAAATTCCAAGCCAATGCGCCGAGCTCGATACACGGACGGATCTTTCCCCGTTGGCCGAGGATTGATGCTGCGATCGCCACGGTGGTGCAGCCGCGTTTCAGGTTTCACATCCGATGCCTCTCGCTTCTTCGATCCGGCAGGTAGCGGATCGCATATCGCAATAGTTCGTGCCCCATTATCCGCCAGATGATCTCCATCACCGAGACGGCATACGAGTCCGTGCAGATTGCCCGAGCCCCTGATTGTAAATCGGTGGTGAGTCAGTGAATCGTGCGACGGGTCTGAGTGAGGCCTTTCGCACATACATTTACCCCTAATCAACTTTGCCGTTGCGGTACGATAGGCCGACCGGCTGAGAGGCTAGAGTAGGCAGAGATCAGCGTCATCATCCCCATTAGCGATGTTGCTGCTTCCGGTCTGACTTCCGGACAGTTGTTGGTCGGTAGCGCCAATCCTCGGAGTTAGGAAACGACAAAGGTTGTCCTCCTTCTTCGCTGGCCGTCTTCCTGCTACCTCCTGCTAACTGGCTTTTGCACCGAGCGCTCGCTGCAAGGCCTAATGAAACCGACCCGTTGGCGTAGCATTCTGCGGATGTTTCTAGCTGATCAGGATGACATGTCCTCTGAGGGTACCGGCGATCGTCAGACATCCGTGATTTATAGCCGAGCTCCGTAAGCCTCGTAATTGCTCGATACGTTGAGTTTGTTCGGAAGTGCTCCCATTGATGTTCTATGTACCTACCTACCTACCTACCCGATACAGTCCACGGTCAATCTAATTGACTCGGGGCTGGACATTTAGTTTGGTCTGTATTCGCTCAATGAGAGGCTTTCAGGGTGACTTTCTCGAACTTCGCCACGCTTTGGAACTTCTTCCCCTCCGAGTTCCTTCTGAGATCGTTGATCGCTCCAGGCAATGCGCCGAGGTGACAGATGCGTTGGCTGCAAAAACTTGACGTTGACGTCGGTGGTGGAGCCCTGCGTGCCACTCTAATATGTCCGATGGCCGAGCTTCCTTCCTGTGCCCCCCGCCGCTAGTGATGTTCCGCCGTGCTCCTCCCTCGGCGAGTTTCCCAACAGGATTTTGCTCGTCCCGCGATCGGGAGTGAATTTCCGTGAGGTCGATAGGGTTGATTGGCGTAGATCCCCGGGGCTGGGGAGGCGTTCGCACCTTTTCGTTTCCTGTCGAGAAGCTTTCGGTCGTCGTCTAATTCGCTCGCTGGTTTGCGTTGTCGCCGCCGCTGCCGCCCATTCGGTCGCGTCTACCGACGACGACGACAACGACAGATCACTGGAGGGGCTTCTGCACTAATGTCTTGAACGTGATCTCCGCCAGCCGTTTTTCTTCCTTTTTTCCTCGCTGCGTCGTCGAGGCGTGGGCTGTCCAGCTGGTTCTCTAGCTCGCCGCCCCGACGTCTCCCGGCCGACCAGTGTCGGGATGATTGTGTACCCAGCTCCGCTGCTATCCTGCTGCTGCTGTGGGATCTCGCTCGCGGGTAAACTTGGCTAAATCA